GCATTTACCTGTTAACAGATGAGCTTTTCTGCTGTTACCTTACAGTTTCCTTAAACAAATTTACCTTGAGTTTAGCAACAAAATTCAATGGTGAGAGAAGATTCAAAATCGTAGCATACATTTCATATTATCAGGCATCTTGGAGGACCTGCTTGAAGCTCATATATATCATTTTTAAGAATAAAAACAAAATGAAACAAAAATGTGGAACTTCTCCAGTATTAAGTTATAGCAGCATTTTTGGTCAGAGACTTTGTGTTTGTTTGTTTTTGAACAACAGTATAGACAACATTCTAGAAGACAGCGACAGAAACCTTTTTTTTTTTTTTTTTTTTAATGTTTATTATCAATCACACCAAACTGCAAACACTGACAAAAGAAGTCAGGGCTTCACTAGGTAGATCAAACACTTTTCCATCCCATTAGACAGTGGTCTTCTTACCCTCTCCCCCTGCCAGCCTCCTTCAGTGCTAGAGGAAACATGCTATGGAAAGGTTCCAAAAGGCTTCAAGACTAATGCTTTGGGCTATGAGTGTTAAGTGAAATATATATCTTCAGGAATGATACTTCCAAATGCTTCTTTCCAAATAAATTGCATTGAAACTGACCTTTTAAATCCTTGTTTACATTAATTGCTGAAAAAAAATCTGTCAGTTTGCACAGGTCTGTTTTTAGTGAGATACATGACAAAGCCTGTTTTGTATATATGAGTAACGTGTCAATGTGTTTGAAGGAATAATTATTGCACTCAATAATTATTATTTAATATTTATCAATTCCTCAATAATTATTGCACTTTTTTTTTTTGGGGGGGGGGGGGAGCAGGGGACAGCTCTGTTGAGAGAAACTGTGCCTTTATTCTCTGTAACAGGACATAGCCTATTATCAGTAAACCACCAAAACACTGTAAGAGAAGCTGTCTTAAAAGCCAACAACCATAATAAGATGAAACGCCAGGGGATTTACAGACATAGTTCAGTCAGACATTTTTAGAGTTACAATCATAAGAAATTCCTGAAAAGCAATTATTAAGTTGGACAGTGATTAATGTATGTGACATATACTATGTAAAGAGAAATTAATTAGAAATGTATTCACATCTCATTTCTCAGCTATGAGTCAATGTTATTAGCTTATATAGCAACATAAACTTTGTGTTTTTTTAAGTACTAATTTGCTATTTGAGTTAATTGAATCAAACCAGAATGTAGCAGCCCAAGTTAGGTGAAAGCTGAATATCACTGCAGTCAGTGGGTGCTTCTTAATTTGTATGTGTATGTACAAAAATTCACTCTCTTCTTTTAGCATGAGCATCCATTGTAAGCATGCTATGTACCCAATTAGTAAATAGTAGATGGGTACAATGCTATGCATACAAAAACAGGCCCACTCTCTTGGTACTGAAACAGAATGGAGCAGGTACTTTGCTCTTGGGTGTGCAGTCATATACTTCTACTACAGGCACAGAGTATTGTGACAAGCTCTGTGGCTTGCACAGTTGCCTGGTGTGTAGAGGATACTTCGACATTTCAGTTACTTCTGATATCTGATTATTAAAACAAGCAAAAAAAATGGAGTGGGAATGGAATGCAGTGAAATCAGAAGACAAAAATAGAAGCTCCTTAGACGTAGAGTGTGTTTCAAGCAGTGGAGATCTTATTCCAGTTACAGAACTGTAGTTCCTGCTGCACTAACTCCATCAGTTAGAGGCTTAGCTTTAATTTTTTGTATCAGTAGCCATTAAACTAAATTCGGATGGTTGTGCAAACATGCTATCATTGAGGAAATTAATCTAAAGCAGCAAATAGATGACTTGAATGATTTCTGTAACCAAGACAGTTGAATTCTCAGTTTCTGTGTGCAAGCAGATCTCTGGTATCATCCTGTGGCTAACAAGATTTATTGCCTTTTTTTTTTCTTTTTTTTTTTCTTTTTTTTTTTTTTTTTCTCCCCATGATTACACAAATCAAATAGTTTGCTTGGGAATGGGTTTGTAAAGGAGAGCAAAAGCTGTCAGTATCATAAACTAATGACCAGCACTGCAACAGAACTCTGTTGCAGTAAACACTAGCTGGGTGTTTACCATCATGAATGGATATATCCTTTCGATCTGCTTTTGAAAGAAACCAGTGGAAAGGAAAAGATTAAGGCAAGAACTGGCTTATTAAATCTAACTCCTTCCACTTCATTCTTTGCAATCCACTTAGAGATGAATGCTTTGTTTGCCTTTTTTATTTATTTTTTTCTTCCTACTGAGAAAAGCCACATTTTAGAATTCATTCTATGATTCTAAGACACAACCACACTGGGTAAATAGCTGACAATTTTTTAGGGTGTATTTCAACACTCATAACTCTTTGTAGTAGTGTCTGTCTTTATTTTGTGAATCAATATCTTAGAAATACCACTCCTTTCCATAGCTCCCAAATTTCCTTTTACCAAAGCCTTATTTCAATTACTCAAAAAAAAATTAAAAAAAAAATAATGCAATGAACACATGGGGTTGGGATGGAATACAGGATAACTCACTGGAGTATGTGAATGCACTGAGGGTGTTTTATTTTTTCAGACTCCTACATAAGGGATCTCTTCCAATTTCAGATCTGGAATCTAAGTCAAAATGAGCATCTCAGTTCACAAGTATGAAATTTGCAGAGGCTTCTGATATTTGTAACAAAAAAAAAGAAACAACAACAACAAAAAAAAAAAACAACAGACAAACAACAACAAAAAATGAATTTCCTTGTAATCTGTTATATAAAGGTTAAAGCAAGGGAGAAAATGAAACCACACTCTGAAGACAGCCATTAATTTGGGAGAATACAGCACTCTCCTCAGAAAGACTTGGGCTGGGGCTTTCTGTTTTGTGGCATTTTTCTGCCGCTTGCTGTTCTGAGCTCTGATCAAATAATTGTGTAGTCCACTGTTGGAATCTGCACTGCTTCTTTCCAGTGTGGTCAACAGTAATGAAGAAATATCAGCTAGAAAGCTGATCTTATCTGTAAGTAATAGTAGCAGAAGGTGCAAAATGCAGCATTTAGAAACTCCTTGAAATTTTTGATTTTGCAAAATGCTTACTAGGCTCATTATTTGCAAATCTCCTCATGCTTCTAGGAGTAATAAAGGAAAGAATGACATAGCTGTACTACGTGCAAGAATCCAATATTCTAATTTTCTATTCAGGTTTATAAACTTCATCAACAATGTACTGTGATATTTAATAAATATTTATTCAGGAAAATTTATGGAAACTAGGTATGGAACTTTGCCTATTTTTGAAAACTATCACACTGTCAACTTGAGGTAATTCACCAGTATTTATGTGCTATTTGCCTGCTCCTCCTTACATAGTAGTCTGATGACTTTCTCAGCTATAAGATCACCTTTTCTACTTACTGAAATTTTAACATGGGGGAATTCTGTTGAGAAACAGCTTTCTGCTTCACTCATGTAATACCTGTCAAAATTGTACCTTGTCACATTGAAAAGGCATTGCCAAAAGTTATGCCCCTTTCACATAGCAAACTGTTGCAACTCAAAGAAAGGGTTTCAGCTCTCGGATATGAGAAAACCCACTGTTTCACTGACTAATGGATGGCAACGCAGCAGAGCTTTGTTAAGGCAAATAGTTACTGTTCTGTTACTGTTACTGTAGACAGTACACCATTGTCTACCAGACACAGGATGTTGTGGGAAAAAGATAAAATTAAAATAGAAAAAAAAATATCAATGTGCAATAGTAAAGACATTGACTTCTAAGACATGATGCATTTTTTTCTAAAAAAAAATAATCAAATAAAATATAATTGTGCATAATAAGAAACAATACACAGCAATAGAGACAATACAGAAACCATAGTTTAATAAAAGGTAAAGGCAGAATCTTAGGGACGAGTGTCAGGACAATCATCTAAATGGCTGAGAAAGGTAAGATTATTCAGGTAATTCTGCTTTTTCTTATTGATTTTAAAATGTGTTTTTTTCTTAACAAGCTTCATATTAATATCTTCTCCACTTCTCATTTTCCAAATGCTTCCACTGTCTATCATCTGTATGCTGCTGAGAAGGGTCTCTTGTTACTTAACAGTACCTACAGCTTGAAAAGTTTGTGTTGACCAGGCAGTTACTGGGGAGAATTAGTTAGTGTATGAACTTGCTGATCGTTATCATCAGCTGATTGCTAGCATTTCCTGATACCCTGTAAAACAGAGGAAAGATATCTTCCCTGATTTGTCTTGTTTCTCACATTAAATGGATGATGAAACCGCAAGATAGTGGTTACTGTTGTCCTACAGAATTACCAAGCCATTTTCTGTTCATGACCTGCTCTTCCCTTTAGTTGTGAAGTATGCGTTTGCTTATCCTTAATGTCCCCACACTTCTGCCATTCTCATCTCTTGTCATGTAGCTTTTTTTTTCTAACAGCTTGAGAATTAATGATAGTCAGAAGGCAATTAATGCCATTGCTAAGATTTGTGACTTTCTGCTCCTAAAGCAGCTAACCACACCTTTACTGACTGACTGAGAGAAGAGGAAAAGTAAAAATTTGGGGATATTTAAACTCATTAAGTTTTAAAGACAGCTTTAAAATGAGTTCAACTGTGCTTTTACTGAAGGAAGCTCCTTTTGGTCAATACCGGTACAGTGAGAAATTACTACTAAATACGGCTCTGTGATAGTTTAGTAGGTTTGTGGCAGGTTCACCTTTGCTGGCTGCTGGGTGAACACCCAGCTGCTCTGTTGCTCTCATTCCTCAACAGCACAGGTGGCAAAAATGAGAGGAAAAGCTCATGGGCTGACATAGAGACATGCTTACCAATTACTATCAGGTGAAATAGGCTCACATTGGGGAAAATTAATTTATTTCTAATTAAAATAGATTTTGATAGTGAGGAAAAAAAGACAAGAGAAAACAACACCAACCACCCTCAGCTCCTCTGCCCCCATGCTTATACCGAGGCCCAATTTTGTGCCCTCACAGCTGGGCCATTTTGGCTTTTTCTTGTGTTCATTTTCCTTGAGGCCTGGAACCAGCCAGAACGTTCCGGAACCGGCCGGAACTGGCCTCTCCTCACTGACACCCCACAGCCCCCGCTGCAAAGTTGGTGCCACAGACATCGTGCATAGCTGACAGTCACTTGACAAGATTAATTATTTGGGGTGTTTTAGTGGTGTTTGTGAGGCCCTGGCATGCAGATTAATGGCATGGTGCCAGGTGCCATGCAGGTGAGCCTCACCTCAACACCTCACGGTGAGTGCGAGGAGTTAGTGGGCTCGGCTCACCTGGTGATTTCTTCAGGAGTCACCTGCAGTCTGAGCAGTTGCTGCCTTGGGATTTATAGCCGTGAAGTGTCTCCTACCCATTCTTAGAAATGAAGTTAAATGCTAGTGACACATTGGTAAGTAATGCAACTCAACATTTCTTTTGTCTGCGTTATCTGGTAATTCGTAGCATCATTTTAAGTATCAGAGGAGAAGCAAGGACTGCGTGCCCGAAGGGTTATGCAGCAGTTGGAAAGCACTAGAATGCTTTTAGGCTTATCTTTCTAGCCACAGGGTGCCACCATTGCTCCAGCAGATCAAAACTGTTAGAGCAACAGAGAATATCACCTGGAAATTAATATAAATATGAACTACTTCAGTCTAGTTTTCAAGCTAATGTTTATGCATTGATATATTAAAATCACCCACTACTAATCTTCTACCTTGGAGAAGCTCTAAAAGATTTGCAATCTACTTCATTTAGGGGAAGCAGTCCCCAGAGAGTTTAACAATTCTCAGAAACCTGTCTCCATACTTCCTAGCATCTCCTAGCACTGAACTGTGGCTGTGTCAACCATAAGAGCCACAAGATTTTTCACACAAATAAACAGGAATTTAAGTACATATGTTCTGTTAAGTCACTGTGGTGAAGGAGTAGGTGCATCTCTGCACGTGTTCACATTCCATAGGCAATAATAGCTGCTGGACTTGCAGGAATTTGTTTGAAATTTGTTTGGAAACTCATCAGTGAGGTAAGCTGTAAACAGAAGATAAATATTGCTTCAATAAAAGTAGATCTTCACTGTAGCTGGTGGTATTCTGAAGAAATAAGCATTGTTTTCAGGTGTACTGAGGGCTGAGTCATTTTCCCTCTCTGTTTTAGTAATGTTAATTGTGAATGAAGCTAATGGATCAGTCTAAGATTAGCTTAAAAGGAAAAATTGTTCTATAAGACAATTAAAATTGGAAAAGTGGATGGTAGCAGTGTTGACAGCCATGCAGCTGAAAGAGTAAGGGAATGGAGGAGTTTTTTCTGGATTTCAGAGACTATGCTTAAACGTTTTTCACTTCAAATTCATTGGATTGCATGCTAAAACAGCATAGGCAGCCAAAGTTGGAGCTCAGAACAATTCCAGGGAAGTCTGCTGGAAAAAGCATTTTATAGTTTATTTGGGTTTAGGCCCCTTGAGCCTTCTAATTTCTGGTCTAGCTTCATTTAAAAATAATTTGCTGATAAAGATATTTGGTATTCATTCTATAAATAGCAAAACTGATGCTTGTTTTTTAGGGTAATACATCTGAGAACAAGGTAAAGAAGCACACATAGGTTGGATGATCAGACAGTGAAAATGGTGAAAAACCTTAGGTTTGTTACCTCAGGTTTTATCACATGGTTCATTTTCTTTTCTAATTCCTGATACTTACATTGGAGGATAGTTTTCTAGGAAATATTCCGTACGTTTTAGATACCTTACAAGTTTAAGTCTGCAAGAAGCTTATGTGTTTTATTTATTTATTTATTTATTTTGTTTGTTTGTTTGTTTGTTTGTTTTTCTGTTAGTGTGTGTAGGGTATAAAGTAAGGCGAAGTAAACTGATTAGATGCAAAATAAAACAAATGAAACTATTGTTTAAGGTGTAACATAATGCCAGAAATCTTAATGGCAGAGTTGTACCTACAATTTCAGGTCTGGGATTCTGGGTTCTGTTTAGTTTGCAGTGGTTTGTGAGGTAAATGCTTTGCACAGGCATAAGACTGGCAGAATTGACCGATGAAGCACAAAGATGTAGCAGACTGGTGATAAATTATTACTGGAGAGAAAACTTAGATGACGCTTTAACCAGAAACACTGTAGTGCTCTGACCAATAAATAGCCCCGTATAGCCTCTGAAGGTGCAGTTCAGTCCTTAGCAAAGCTCTCCTCTTAGGTAGAATTCAGCCTTAAAATCCTTAACATTACTGCTGTGCTTCAGGAAGAATTTCTATTTGATTTTGTTCAATCTAAATTAGTTTCTCTGCTGGAGGCAGGAATCGCCCTGCAGGCAACCTAAAAATGAGAAGTTTCATAGCACTCATTTACCTCATACTCAGAAAAGACAGCACTGATGTCAATATTATTATTATTATTTGCTGTTTTGAAAGAATATTTAAGTGCCTTTTCTGCCACATTAGACCACATGTTGGATGGCCTTAAGTTTATGTTTGGACAAATTATGCATAGAAAAAATGTATTAAAAAAATATTGCATATTCTGACTTTTTTTTTTTTTCCCTAAAATTTATGATGTCTGAAGTAACTGTATATGCTGTGTGAGTCTGAAGGAGGAAGTCTTCAGCTCTCTGGTTTGGTCCCACAAATCGTAGTAAGGTTCTGTGTGGATGGGAGAGAGGCTTGGTATGAACATTACGTGCTGAACCTGAGTCTGGCTTTAGAATCCTCAGCTCTGTATCTATCCCACAAAACTGTCACAAAGACCAGTAAGGGTAAACAAAACAAAACAAACAAACAAACAAAAAAAAATGAAAGCGTGGGAAGTTTCTGTTTAGTCTGGTGTTCCTTCAGGCTTACTGTAAAATTTCAGGTTGTTTCAGAAGAAATGTGAAGTGGCTGCAGAAGACTGTTGTGGTCCACCCTGCTGGTGTTTACTATTTGGAGGCAGGTCTGGGATCAAGAAAGTGTTTATGCATTTGAAAGTTTTAAAATGCAGTTATTTTTGGTTGCAGGATTGGTAGATGTGCAATGAAATTTATATAGTTTCTTTTTTCCAAAACATCTTTTTTTCAATTGTATGGCTGTGAAAATGAGATTTTGTGTCAGGCCTATAAGCACTGTATTTTCTGAGTCCAGAGTTGTTTGCATAATTGTGTGTGTAAATTTCAGATGAAGTGAGAGCGATTCTAGAAAAATTACACATTAACAATTTCATTGGTTGCCTGTCTGCTGCAACTGATTTTGTTACTGAATTTCAGTTGAGAAATATATTTTTTTTTCCTTGTAATTTCTACTAATCTTCTTAATGTCTGAACCAGATTTCAGACTGGCAGAGAGAACCTGAGTTTTTAAGTTAAGCCTCCACAGTAAAAATTCAGCCTGAAGGAATTTTTCATGGCCAAATTATAAAGTGCTAGAAAATAAATTTCATATTAAAACTGTGGATTCAGCCTTCAGTGCCACAGTACTTTGCTTTTCCCTTTAATAATGTAATGACCTATATGTGCAAAGTTTCTTAAAGTGTTTCTTGAGGCAAATTTTTTTTCTCCTCTGGGTATGATGGGATTTATTATTTTATATAACTGACTTGCCTTCAGTAAACTTTTTATTTAAAGACTTTTGTAGTAGTAGTTGATGTTCAGGAAATAGAGTTGATAAAACCAGGTAGTTCTAGAATTTCATGAAGTTTAAGCAGATGTTTAATCAATTCTGGTGTGCATCCATGTTAACTTCCATTATCGTTTGTTTCTGTATTTTTTAAATGGCTCTAAAGGGAGTAATGTGTTTTCTGTAGGAGGGGAAAAAAAAAAGTAATCTCTGAATTATGTAGAATGTAAACTTATTTGAGACTTGCAGTGAAGATATAAATCACTCAGTGATGGGATTCACCCCGTGGGAATGGGCTAGGTCAGAATAACTGTTTCCACATTATATGAAAACAAAAGTTAAATTGTTCATTGTTTTCTTCAAGTTCATATGGACTGCAGGAAGGTAAAAATTTCCATACTCCTTTATATGCGTTCATTTATCACCTTACATATGTAGCTCATTGACATCAATAAGAATTTCCTAACTGATTCAACCCGTTATGTTTAAAATAGATGTATCTATTTCCTTTAAGGCAACTCCAAAAGAGTAGGGTGCATGCTGTAAATACAGGGTGATAATGTGTAATGAATTGTTGCAGCTAGAGGCTCTTGCCTGTGTAGTTAGTTAGTTCATCCTGGAAATGATGAATCAAAAATGGAGAAGTCATTTCATTGCTTAAAAATGAAAAGAAAATCTGTTTTTAAAATGTCAAGTTCATGATTTATGAGCAGGATTGTCATAATCAGTCATTCAGAATGAATTGGATTATTTAGGATCTATTTACAGGCAGACAAGCTGAAAATATTTTTACGTATAATGCTGAGGAAGTTTACACTCTCTCTCACATCTAAATTGCTTTTCCACCCTACGCAGATAGAAACACAACACAGATTGTTAGTGCTGAGTTCCCTTATGAATTAGTTATAAACTATGACAACAGTGCAAAATACCAAGAAGAGGGAGTGCTGTGTCCCCCCCCCTATGGTATCGTCAGTGGTTGCAGCTCTACTGAAGATAATGGGATAATAAAAACTTTTATAGAATTGCCCTAGACAACATTTTCCAGCAGCATTTATCACTAATAATAGGCACTAACAAGTTGTCTTATGAGTCTTATTCTTCAATTATTTAGGAATATGGGAATTTTGACATTGGCTTCTGTGAGAGTTGGCGAAGAGAAGGAGGTGGGCAAAACTCAACCAGAAGGATGCATCTGTTCAGGTATGCTGAATTAACTTTTGATGTTTTGTGGAAGGGATTTTTCTTAATTCTGTCTTCTGCATGCAGCAGTCAGTGGGGTCCACAATGGGGATTCCTATGTGCTACTGTAGTGTGGTATAGCAATTAAAATGCATGTAATAAAGTAAATACGTAAGTAACAACTAAAAGTGTTGTAAACTGTAAAAAAAAAAAAAAAAATCAAAAAAAAAAAACAGTCTCAAGCTGCTAGAACATGTACAGCTGCATTGTCTTTCAAAGCATTCTTATAACAGAGTTTTTCCTTATCTTTTTATTATTTATTTTGACCTTTGGCATGGAATTTTTTTGTGAGCTGTGTCCCCAGCTCTCTCTTCCCAGTCAGAGGTTCCCAAGACTGAGGTTTCTGCACCTTAGTAGGATAGGAATTACTACAGGCCAACACAAGGCAGTGAAACAGAATGACAGCTCCATCTATGTTTGTCAAAAATCTGTTTCAGCTTGTGTATCTCACCAACTGATAATTCAGAGATAAAATTAATAACATCATCCTACACACATTTTCTGTGTAAAGAAATTAATGGCACAGGAATGAAGGAGGCCTGAGACAGCAGGGTTGTGATGATGTTATAACTTCCCAGAGAAGTCTATGTGAGGACAATTTTGAGCACAAATTTCTGGCTTGTGTAAGTGGACACTAAATACAAGTTCCAAATCATGTGAAAGGTGAGCCCAAGAAGGGGTGTACATGAATTTGATCTTAATATAAGGCAGGAGATATAAGAGATGAGAAAGCAGGGAGGAGGATGGAGGCTGAATTTGGGAACGTCATATTCTTGTCTGCTTTTTAGATTTAATACTCTTCTGTTTAAAGGGCTTCACTCATTCCTTCTGGAGGAAGTCTGTTATATTCTGATGAAGTGCTCTGTGGCCTGTTTTCTGTTAATGGTTCTTCTGTCACGTGTTTGATCACCCTCATTCCTGAGGCAGTTTGATCCCTTCTCTTTCACTCAGTGATAGTTATCCTAGTGTAAGGACCTTCTGAAGTCCTTCTTAGTTTTTCTTCAACTTAAGGAGACTAAGAATATCATTGTTGAACTGTCTCTTACACCTTATCAAAAAAGTCTGAGTTCCCACTGTTTGCTTCTATTAGAGGGATGCATTGGACTAACGATGTTAAGAAAAAAACAGAATAGCTAAAATGTTCCTGCTTCTACCTTTACTATCCTGTGGGATATCACAGTCAGTGGGCAATCAGGAGAAATTGTTTAGATTTTAGACTTAAAATAATTTGAATTATTCACTCAAGCTATAGTAAAACTGCTCCTTAGTAACAAACTGGGCTGATGCACAAGGCCATCTGAAAGTTGGTGAATGAATTGCAAGGGCTCAGGAAAGCTAATATTTCAACAACAGGAATCACCAATCTTGCTACAGGTTTGAAGGAAACTGTAAAAACAAAACCAAATAGAACTCAGCAGATAAAGAAAAAGTGGGGGGATGGAATCTTGGAGTATCACAGCAGACCTCAGGGTGCTGTCACAGCCTCCTCTTCGTAGGGGAGACGATTGGGAAGGAGATCTGTCTGAAGTGAATGAACTCATGCTGAGGATACGCCTATTCTAAGCTCAAACTGTAGATCCATACAGTAGTCCCTGTCCTGAAGTGACAAAATTCCAGGGCAAATGCTACCACTTCTCCCTTTCTGAAATGGGATCCTGCACAGAAGAAAGGTAAGTTATGTGGCAATGAGAAATAAATTTATTTCCCTCTGTATCATTCAGCACAGCTGTGGACCACTGCGCACACTGTTTCTTTACCTGCAGTCTGTGAGTGTGCTGCAGGTCAGGTTAGCTGTTTTGGACATTGAGTTGCTCCCTTTCTTCCTACTACAAGTGACCTTTGCTTTCCTTCCCTCTGCACCCACAAAACAACAACAAAAAGTGGGAGACTATTTCTTTTTTTGCCACAGAAATATATCTAATGGTTGAATTTATTTTATTTATATATACACACACACACACACACACACACACACACACACATATATTCTTTCCTTCAAAAATAGGCAAACTGATTTTCATTTGTGTACAGCTATGGGGCTTGCATACATGCCTAAACTGCTTTAGAATCAGCCTGCTGAGCAGTCCTTAGAATAACTACCTACTTAAGGCTCCTTTGCACAACTGTTATGATAGTGACTTTTAAGTTCAAGCTCTTTTAGCCAGGTACTCAAACTTTCACATTATTTTTATACTTTTATCCCTTTTAAATTAGTCAAGAGTGCTTGTGTGGATCTTGTTGTGCTGGATTGTTAAAATACTTGCATTCTTCTACATGGATGTAGGACTGTTATAATATTCCAAAGTTTACTGTAAAACCTGGGTTGTGTTTGAAGCTAACAAGCCAGAACTGCAGTCTTGTTGGTTTCATTCTTTGTGAAGAACAGCAGTCAACAATTCTGCATGAATGATGCTATCTAAGACAAATAGTATGTGAAGCTCTAGAGCATCTTATGTTTGTTGCCAAGACACTGACATTAGAAAACAACTGGCAAGTCAGATGCAGTGTATTTAGGAGCCTGAAAGTATGAGCCCATGACAGCAGCATGATGTAGGAGCTCAGTTTGGGTTCATTTGTACTGAGGAACAAAAGACAAAACAGCAGCACCTTGATAGAGCCTTCAACTGAGTATAGGAGAGAGAGGCAGCAATCAAGTATAGGGTGGGAAGAGGGAAGGAATCACTGGCTTTCAAAAGCCTTTTAACCTCTGACTTCAGAGAATAATGTATGTCAAATCTAATGAAACAAGGAGACAGATCTGGAAGAGCCTAATGGTGACACTTTTACAAGACAGCAACTAAAGAAGCTGCCTTTGCTGGATGGAAGCTGACAGTAATTTTTCTTCTCTCATGAAAATGGCAACTTGGAGCAGAAAAAAAAAGGTAATGTGTAGATGTATATACATCCCCAACTCCTAAAGCAGAATACTAGAAAATGCTAATGCCGGTGGCTTCCCATCATTTAGTAAGTCTGTCCACACTTGTTTCTTTCTTTTTTTTTTTTTTTTTTTTCCCAGCTAACTGGTCCCTTTTATGCAGTACTTCCTTGTCATAAACTAGCTGAGCAACTCCTCAGAAGAGAGGAGCTAATGTTATAGAATATATTGCTTGTTTTAAGCCAACAGAGATATAAGTTGGTCATTTAACCTACAGAAGGCGGTCCGTTTACCTATCCTTCACCAGCTGGGCTTTTTCTTCTCAAAAAACAATTTTGAAACTTTGAGCCTTAATACTCAACTATTTTTGCTGCTCAGCTGGTGTTATAACCCAATTTAGTTGTGTAGCTGGAAGGTAATATACTTGGGGAAAATGTTTTCAGTTTGAACTGGTAGAAAATTTCTCAATTAAACAGAAAAATCACCAGAAAACACTGTAAAACCTGAAATGTTTTAGTTGAAACATATCTCAGTGACATGAATCCAAGGCAAAGTTTTATGGGAACTATGCATTTGTAGCGTATTGATTTGCCTTGAAATTCCCTGCAGATATCAGCAACATCAATTTATCTGAACAACTTCATGCTCTCAATAGCTTTGTGTTTACGTCAGCTTTATTTTTATTGATAAGCTGCACTAGATTATAGAATAGCAACAACATTTCTGCTGAACTCAGTTGAGCATCACTTGTTTTTACCTCCTCTGTTCTGGGAAGATGGGCTAACAAAGTCCCATGTAGAAATTAGAAGGAAATAGCATGTGAATAATTATAATTCAGACTTCATTTTTTTATGTGTTGCATATTTTCTAAATAAAATAAAGTGAGATAAGAAGTGAGCAAGGGATATGGTCCTTTGTGATACAACTAAAATACTTTGAGTGTAGAAATGATTGAGCCAAGTTTAATTGGGAAAGGAGGAAGCATCTGGGTATTAAAAGAACGTAGGTAACACTGCTATAAGGTGTACATGTAAATCCACATCCTCGGCTTTTATTTCACTTAGCAAAAATAACAATATATTGCAACACAAAATATGTGTGGTAACAGAAGAATATGCTGAACCAATCCAAAAGTGCTAGACTTCAAAGGAGGGATTTACCCAGAACTGGAATAATGTCTCTTGTTACTGTATTAGAATAATCCAAGTGCTTTAGAGTTTGACATGCTGGTATTCTTTACTTTTTGTTGCTGACTGAACTGTAGAGAAATCAGGCTTCTCCCTCTGGGAGTGTGCGAAATAAGCGGAGAAGCTCCTTTTACTGAGATTTATGAGGAGTTAATATTAATTTGGATACTGTGGCTCTCATACCTTCTTGATTACACCTTCTGGGCTGTATTAGAAGAAGCTTAACCAAAGCCAAACAAGAAGAGGCAAGTGTTATTGATACAGGGATGCTATCAAATTATGAGTACTGAGCTGAGGTATCCACATTCTCAGAAACAGAAATTGGAAAGGGACCACAAGACAATAAAGTGTGTATCTCATGCAAGTCTTCTGGTAGTAGCCTTGATTATTTTCTCCCTTACAAAAGTGAGCTGTAATGTTACTGGGATTCATCAGATGATGCTATTGTTCATTTACAGTATCTTGTTTCTTGTGTGCCTGTTTTAGATCCTGGGGTAAATATTTAATTGTTGCTTATGATGTATTTTTATTATTGTTAGTTTTTGCTGTAACATGCTTTTTTTAATCATAAAATGTGCGTCATAAGGTACATCCAGATGTCTTCTAGTACATTCCCCTGCTCAAGCAGGTCTAATGAGATCAGGTTGTTCAAGTACTTGTCCAGTTTAGTCTCGAAACCTCCAGGGATGACATTATGAAATCCCATAGCCTTTCTGGGCAGCCTGCTCCAATATTTGACTATTTTCATAGCAAATAATGATAATAAAAATCCTTGTGTCTAAATGGAATTGTGTCATTGGAATTTCCCACTTCTGTCCATTGTCGCTTCTTGTTCTGTTGTGCACCACCAGGTGTCTGGCACTCTCAATGCCATAGAACCAAACCCTTTCAGCAAGTCC